TGCTTACATGATGAAAAGTACCTTGAAATTGCACTCACAGAAGCAGAAAAGTTCTATTCTTTAGCGATGCCCAAGTAAACAAATGACGTCACCGTCCAATACCTGTCCGCCCGCCAGTCCAAATTCCAATATACAGTCAAGAATGGGTTGACATTAGTTATACAATTACAATAATGCAGTAGTCTGCAAAACAATAAATCTTCTATTTTGGTGTGTGAATAAAAATTTCAAATGGTAAGCAAGAGTAATACAGTGGTCCCTCGTTTATCGTCCTTAATTCGTTCCTGGAAGTGGGACTATTATCAAAATAGACGATTTTCAAATCAATTTTCCCCATAAGAAATAATGTAAATACAATTAATCTGTTCCTGACACCCAGAAGTATTAAAACAAAAACATTTTTTACATGAAATATAGATGTAGCACATAAACAATATAATGGGACATGATGAATGAAACATTAACACCATAACACTTACCTTTATTGGAGATTCTTCTTAGTGTATGGAAGACTGGAGAAGGAGAGAGATTGAATTACTGTTTGGAAGGGGAATCCCCTTCCATCAACACCTCAGGTACCAAGTGCTTTTCTGGGGTTACTTCTCTTCTCTGTTTCTTAATGCCACTAGGACCAGCTTGTGAGCCACTGGAGTCCTGTCTCGCAAAAAAACTGTCCAGAGAGCTCTGTTTCTGGCGTCTCTTTAAAACTTCCCTAAAATGGGCCAAGACTCTGTCACTGTACAAGTTGCCAATATGGCTTGCAACATCCTTCTCAGGGTGATGTTTCTCCATAAATCTTTCCATCCTACCCCACATTTCAAAAATCTCCTTAATTTCTGAAGAAGGCACCTTCTTCCATCTCTCTTCCTCCTCCTCTGCAGCAAGATTCTGAGCTGTGATCTGTTGCTCTTCCTGCTGAAGCTCTTGCAGCTCCTCAGTGGTTAGCTCTTCGTTGTGGTCCTCCACCAACTCTTTGACATCCTCCAAACTCACATCCAACCTCATGGAACTCCCCAATGCCACAATATAGGTCACAACTGACATAGGTTCATCAGGGGCTGCCTCAAACCCTTCAAAACCCCTCTTGTGGACACAATCCGGCCACAAGTTTCTCGAAGCAGAGTTGAGAGTCCTGGTAGTCACTCCCTCCCAAGCCTTTCTGAAGTCTTCTTTCCAAAAATCTCTTAGGGTCAAGTGAGTGTCTGAGGTCACATTAAAGCACCTTTCAAACACTGCTTTGGTGTAGAGTTTTTTAAAGTTTGAAATGACCTGCTGGTCCATGGGCTGGAGGAGAGGAGTGGTATTCGGGGGCAAGAACTTTACTGTGATTAACCCAAACTCCTTCAGAATTAGGTCATCCAAGTTTAGAGGATGAGCAGGTGCATTGTCCATTACTAGGAGGCACTTGAGATTCAATTTCTTTTCCAGGAGGTAATTCTTCACATTAGGACCAAACACTTCATTAAACCACTGTACCAAAATTTCCCTCGTGACCCATGCCTTATTATTACATCTCCAAAACACGCAATTTACTCTTTGTAACATTGTTTTTCTTGAAAACACTGAGATTTTCAAAATGGTACACTAGTAATGGCTTCACCTTGAAATCCCCACTAGCATTAGCACAGAACATGAGTGTCAGCCTGTCTTTCATAGGCTTGTGTCCTGGCAGTGCCTTTTCCTCCTGAGTAATGTAGGTCCTCTTTGGCATTTTCTTCCAAAAGAGGCCTGTTTTGTCACAAGTGAACACTTGTTCAGATTTCAGTCCTTCAGCCTCTATGTACTCCTTGAATTCCTGCGCATATTTTTCAGCTGCTTTTTGGTCCGAACTGGCAGCCTCACCATGCCTTATCACACCGTGTATGCCAGTACGCTTCTTAAATCTCTCAAACCAGCCTTTGCTGGCCTTAAATTCACTCACATTACTACTAGTTGCAGGCAATTTCTTTACCAAATCATCATGCAACTGCCTAGCCTTTTCACAAATAATCGACGTCATAAGACTATCTCCTGCTAATTGTTTCTCGTTTATCCACACCAATAACTTTTCAACATCTAAGTACTGGTGATCACATTTTTGTCAGCATATTTACCCCCTTTGCAACAACAGCTTCCTTGATTTCCTTTTTCTTGGCCACGATGGAAGATATGGTTGTACGGGATTTGTTATACATCCTGGCCAGTTTGCACACATGTACGCCACTTTCATATTGTTCAATGATGTTTTTATTAAATTCAATCGTATTTCTCACCTTCTTTACCAAAGGATTGGCACTAGGAGCTTTCTTTGGAGCCATGGTAGCTTATTTAGCACTTGCAACCACTAAAATGAATAGAATATTATGAAATATTTTGTATGAACAAGTGAGGGGACCGTTGCTCACTGGTAAACAATGGCACACTGGCTGGGAAGGGAGGCCATGGCGGCTCAGAGCGTGAGTATGCGGCCAGGACAAAAGATGATTAGCGAGTCAACAGACCATTTGCGAGCCAATATTTGGACGAAATAACGCGACGATTTCCGAAAAGGACGACTATCGAGCCGGATGATTATTGAGGGACCACTGTATAAGAGAGGCCTTGAGCCATGACTAATGAATAGAGAAAATGTTATTTTAGTGCCAGGAATGTCTGCATTGTCTATTATGGACCCTATTTTGAAATTGGCATCCGTGAAATTGGCCAAATTACCAATTTCTGACCACTTTATTGGGTAGTTGAAATAGGTGAATGGGCAGTTTCTTGTACTCAGTTGACAGACTAGAAGTAAGTAAGTTTAGTCAGGTACTATACACAAATACAGTTACATAGATTATTATACATAGCAGTGTATGTATAGAGAACCTAATATAACCCAAAAAAGTCCAAGTGACTGATTTCCAGTACCTGGCCTGAGCTTGCCATGATTTTTGGCAAATATTGTTTTTTTCTCAGTTGTTTGTTGGGCTATCTCATTGAAACTTGGGCAATGTATGATGGAAAGATGCTTCTTAACGTACACCAAAAAATAAAAAAGATGGACGATAAATAAGGGAGTTCACTTCTCAGCCATTAGCCGCCTATTTGTGGTATATTTTCGTATGGTTTTTATGGCTGTATTCTCGCTTTTTTGGTCTCATTTGATAGAATGGAAGAAATATTACAGAAATAGACATGATTTTGATTGCTTTCATGATGAAAAGTACCTTGAAATTGAGCTCAAAGTAGCAGAAATGTTTGATTTTTGCCGATATTCAATGAACTTTGTGTAAGTCAAGTTGGTTAATTTTATTAAGTGTATTCTAACCTAACCACTCTGTAATCGAGCACACTACAGGTCCCAATGATGCCGGATTTGTGATGGAGGACCTGTATTATTATTTTACATCTGATTATTATTATTATTATTATTATTATTATTATTATTATTATGTTGAGAAGCATCTTTCCATCATACATTGCCCAAGTTTCAATAAGATAGTCCAACAAACAAATGAGATACAGTTCCCAAGATCAAGAGCAAAAGCCCCTCACCAGCGTCAAGGCACCTGCCTTGAGGTCTGCTCGCTTATGGAAATTTTGCTCGCATATGAAAGCAAAAAATTGACCCACTGACTGCTCATATTTGGAAAAACTCGCACGTGGATGTGCTCACAAGCAGAGGTTCCACTGTAGTTTCAATAGTAAATATTGTATGGTACAGAATAAATGTTCTTTGGGCAGCATGCAAAGTGGTTAGAAAACTGTAATACTGATAGCTCTCTTTGTTACCCCAGTCCACAGATGACAGAAGTTCTCTAAGTCCATTGTAATCTGCTAAGCAAAAATCTGGGACTGTTTCTGAATTATCCCTACTATTATACTTCAATTCAATGCTAAAGTTAATTGATTTGTGGTTGCTTGCGCCAAGTTACTCTGTAATTTCTAAATTATTAACAAAGGTTTTCTCGTTTGCTAGAACCAAGTCAAGCAGGTTATTTCCCCTTGTAGGCTCTGTAACAAGCTACTTTAAAAAACAATCCTGAACTACCTCTAAGAAGTTGTTAGACTCTATATTCCCAGTCAAGGAATTCTAATCAATCTGACTAAAGTTAAAGTGTCCTAGAATTACTGTGTTATAGTGCCTTGTGGCCCTAACAATTTCCTCCCAAAGTAGTCTTCCTTGGTCCTTATCCAAGTTTGGGGGACAGTATGTCACACCTGAAAATTCTACCCAAACAGACTCTGTATGTGTTATTTTAGACTTTATACCAGTTTCCAGGCAGCAATTTAAGTGATCTCAGATATACAGTGTCGCCCCACCCCCATTTCCAAAGTTTCTATGTGGAACAATTTAAAACCATGAATGTGACATTCAGCAGGCATGTCTCAATTTTTCATATTAAACCATGTCTCAGTTATGGCAAATATGTCAATGTTACCACCACTTGCAACTAATCTCAATTCGTCCATCTTATTTCTAGCACTACGAATACATATTTGTATAATATAAATTTAAAAACTCTTCCTTCTCTTTTTCCTTCCTGCTCATTTCTCTTCTTCCACTATCCCTATTACTGTCCTTGTCATCTAGTGGCACTGGCTTTCCAATATTCACCAATAACTCTACCTCGTTCTGTCTATAATTGGTTTCCCTAAAACTCACAATACCACTACACTGAGGCTTCATTGCTTTTCCAAAAAAACCATACCACTATGTCTAGTTTAAAGCCCTAACAGTTCTCTCCATTGCACTGGCCAGTGAGTGTGTGTGTGTGTGTGTGTGTGTGTGTGTGTGTGTGTGTGTGTGTGTGTGTGTGTGTGTGTGTGTGTGTGTGTGTGTGTGTGTGTGTGTGTGTGTGTGTGTGTGTGTGTGTGTGTGTGTGTGTGTGTGTGTGTGTGTGTGTGTGTGTGTGTGTGTGTGTGTGTGTGTGTGTGTGTGTGTGTGTGTGTGTGTGTGTGTGTGTGTGTGTGTGTGTGTGTGTGTGTGTGTGTGTGTGTGTGTGTGTGTTACAACATACATTAGTAAGTTTCAATATTACCTGTAGTTCTCCTTCCCACCATCCAGAAGCAGTTTTCTTGCGTATCATCACCAGTTGTCCTCGCTGTAGACTCAGTTGGTTACTGCTGGTAGCATCATAAGGAGCCAGCACTGATGCTATCTCAGGCTTCTTACCTTTACTACCCTGTAAATATTATTTAACATTAGCAATGTACACATACATGTACATACGTACATACACACACACAGCAGCTAACCATTCAGAATCATTATAAGTTTAAAAGCATATACTGGAAGTAACCTCCTTTATTTGTACATATGGTATATAGAAGAGGACACATGACATCAGTAGTGGTCTGTTACTATCTTCTATATTACAGTTACACATGTGCTTACATCAGTATTTCTTATGTATTATACTTATGCACACACATGAGTATCTATACATGTACACATGAACACTTATATATATGCATGTACAGTGGGTAAGACAACAGTTAGGCATCTCTATTCCAAAACATTTTGCCCAAACAGCAGGCTCCTTCAGTTGAGTACAGATGAGTTTGCAGAAGCAGCAGAGATGTGAAGACGCTGTCATCTGTCCATCACCCTTGAAGAAGTAGTGATGAACTGATTACATCGTCTTCATATCTCTACTGCTTCTGCCAATTTTTCTCTACTTGACTGAAGAAGACTACTGTGTAGGCAAAACATTCTGGAATAAAGATACCTAACTGCTGCACGTGTCTTACTTATCAACCTATCGGTATTGTATATAGTTTTAAAATTTATGCATATACAGTACATACATAACACTCATACATACATATGCATACAGTACATACATAATACTCGTGCATGTATACACATACAAGTACACATATACTATATATATTATAAAATGTGCATGTATACAAGTGGAGCATCAGTAGACTGCTAACAGATACTGGTACATACAGTGTTAAGACGAGGATATGGTCAAGTACCCTGGTACTAGTACACAAAGTATTCACCCAGTTGTAATAACATTCAACCAGATCTAGTCATTGGCAGGTGGATACTCCATTACATAATGGTAAAGGTGGTGCACCTCTTCCTTTTCACAGAACTTACATGTAATATAACGCAGTGAGGTGAGGCTGGCCTGTGGCTGCAATACTGTACTGTCACTGCTGACATTAGCACAACCTCACTCAGGCAGTCACTCTCGCACACTACTTTGCCACTGCTGACATTAGCCCAGTCTCACTCAGGCAGTCACTCTTGCACATTATTCTGCCACCACAGATGCTAGCCCAACCTCGCTCAAACCTATCACTCTCTTGCACAATCTACTGGACATATTTTTTTCCTTGCCCATATAAACACTTTCTGACAGGATCAAGTCAAAATGCTTGATACTAGTACTTTCAGGTCTCTAGGAATCTGTTTTCTTAGTCTAACAGCAAATGTATTTCAATAGAATGATTTTAACAATGGAGTGAGGGATGTCCAGTTATAACTCCACCTCCAGCCAGTTACTGGTTGACCTAACTTCACTATCATTGTTATCATGATAGATGAGCCCTATGTGGGAAGCTATCCACACCAATGAAATACATAAGCTTTTGAGTACATTTTAGGTCATTTTTAATGTCTATTATGAAGTTCCTAGTATCTATTTTTTAAATAGAATTCTGAAGTGCTTGAAGAGCAGACTTAGGGTTACTGATCACCTTCCTCCCACTTGTGTTTATAATGTATTGGAAGAGAGAAGTGTACACTGCTGTATATTATACATAATAAAAAGAAGTGCTAAACCTACATGGGTCATACAACACAGCAGGGTAGGGAAGGGTGCAGGGGTATTGGGTAGCAAGAGGGAGAGGGATTATTATTAGGTCATGGAGTGCAGCGGAGCAGTGGATAGTGCAGGGGTAGAGGGTAGCAAGAGGGAGAGGTAGAAAGGGCTGTGAGGAGTGCTAGAGGCATCACCATCAAAGTTTATGCAGTAAATCAGTTGCTGTCAAAAAGCCAATGAGAGAGTGAGTTAAAAGAGAGTCCATCAACAAGAAAAAAAGGTAAAGCAAAGGCAGCTGGAGGCAAATTTTGTGTGCTCATTGATAGAGTGGGTAGTCCAACAGAAACTGGATCCCGGCAATTCTCACGGAGCAGAACAGGGCACCTCTCCATTAGATACTCGAGAGCAAGACAAGTGTGGCCAACGTGAAGATTGGAAAGTGTATTCACCTAGTTGTACTCTCACCTAGTTGTGGTTGCAGGGGTCGAGTCATAGTTCCTGGCCCTGCCTCTTCACTGGTCGCTACTGGGTCACTCTCCCTGAACCATGAGCTTTATCTCCCAACCTCGACACAGATGACAAGAAAACAGCCAGAAACCTATACTTGGTTTAATAGAATGCAATTTGTTATGTAGCAGCTCAGACCAACGTTGTTGCCAATGGGTACAAAGGCGGGTAGCAATTACAGCAAAATAGCCTGTGAATGGAACACCTCTAAATGAAACTGGGAGGTCATGTACTGCTGACCATGCAGCAGTGTCTGCCTGTTCATTGCCCTGTACGTCAACATGACCAGGGACCCAACAAGAAATAATATCTTTGCGCTTGCCAGGGATACGGTGTAACCAAAATTGGATGCGAAGAACCAGGGGATGAGGTGTATCAAATTTTCTTATAGCCTATAAAGCACTAAGGGAGTCTGAAACTGCCACAAATGGTGACACCGGCATAGATGCAATACGGAAAAGTGCTACGAGACTGGCATACAATTCAGCTGTAAAAATACCATCCAAAGATAATAAAAGCCCTTGCACAATGCTGTCCAGAAACACTGGTGCAAATCCAATGCTGTCAGAAGACTTGGAACCATTGGTGTATACTGCAATGGCATAAGAATGAAATCAGAAGTGGTTAAGAAAAAGAGAGCAAGAAGCCACCATAGGCAGCTGGGCTTTTGTGCATGGCAGTGGGAAAGAACAGACACAAACTGTTGGAATATTCCAAGGGGGTAGGGAAAAGTTAGATGCTACATAAACATAAAAAGGTGATAACTGAAGAGAAGACAAGAGCAAATGTAGGCATAAAGAAAAGGGATGGAGTAAACAGGGTAACGAACAAATAAAGAACATCTACTAACATCTGTGACTATCCTATATATGGAAGGATTGCGGAGGTCATAAGAGCGAACATAATAGTAAAGGCAATGAGCATCATGGTGATCGGTCAAGGATGGAATACAGTAGACCATCATTTAGCACAAGTTTATTTGGTACGATTTGGGTATAGCACGACTGAAGAATTGCGACACAATTTTATGTTACACATCGAAAGATTAATTTAACACGGTTCAGTTTGCAGAAAGGACAAAAAAACACTTCACTTTTCCTAAAGCGGCTGCCTTGTTGTGGGTCAGCGGGATAGACCTCCTGCTGTCCCCAGCCACCTCCCAACACCACCCCAGCATTCGTACTTCACACTTGTCCAGTCCAACTTCTCTGCTACAAGCTTGTGATTGTGAATTGTGTTTTGATCTTTTAACTGCTATATCTTGCATCTGCCAAGCAATCATGAAAACCAGTAGGCATACCAGTTTTGCTTAAAGTGGCAAGAAAAGGTGTAAGCATTTAAGTCATAGAATTAATGAAGGAAACAAAGATATTAGGCAAGACATCCTGTGGCCATAATGAAGTGTTACTTTGTACACATAAAAGAGAAGTAAACATAAGTTTGTGTGAATGGCTGACTTACTGAATGACTGACTTACTGAATCACTTGACTGACTTACTGAATGACTGACTTACTGAATCACTTGACTGACTTACTGAATCACCTGACTGACTTACTGAATCACTTGACTGACTTACTGAACAACTTGAGACTTACTGAATCACTTGATTGACTGAATGACTTAAAATTAGACACTCTGGTACAACCATCAACTTCAGTACCAGAACCTCTACCATCCACCTCAGCCCAGTAGGACCACAACATAACTCTCCACTCTCTTCACAATCATCCACAAACACCAGCATCCACAATTAAAGGTAAGAAATACTATTATTTCTGTTACATTTGTAGTCTTAACCCTTTCAGGGTCCAGAGGCCAAATTTCAAAGTGCGCATCAGGGTCCAAGAGTTTTTATAAAATAATTTTGTTATTTTTTCTTATGAAATGGTAGAGAATCTTTTTCTGAAGGTAATAAAACAAAAAGTACAAAATTTGATGGAAAATTGACGAAATTATGTTCTCGCGAATTTTGATGTGTCAGCGATAATTACGCATTGGCGATTTTGCCGACTTTGACTCCCATTTTAGGCCAATTACATTATTCCAATCGACCAAATTCTTAGCTATTTCACTAGATTACTTCTATTCTATCGATTGAGCACAAGAAATCGCCAAGTCAACTGTTACAACTACAAAATAAAGTAATCGGAAATTGGTAATTTGGCCAATTTAATGCAAAGTTCAAAATATTCTAATTTCAAAATAGGGTCCAGAATAAACAATGTAGGCATTCCTGGCACTAAACTAACATTTCCTCTGTTCATTAGTTATGTTTTCAGGCTTTACAAATGAATTCCATTTTGATTTTTTATTCACATAATGAATTTTTATTCAAACCAAAAAATAGAAGATTTACTGTTATGCAATATTGTAATAATTGTATAAATAATATCACCACATTTGTGAACGTATATTAGACCCACCAGCTGTGTGTATTAGACATGTGAGGTCATTTGTTTACTCTTGAACATCAGCAAAAATTCAACATTTCAGCTACTTTGAGCTGAGTTTCAAGTGATTTCTTTTACTAAACCCAATCGATATCTTCTCTATTTCTGTAATATATCTTCCATTCTATCAAATGAGACCAAGAAATCACAAACACAACTATAAAAAACATACGAAAAAACACTGCAAAGTCGCTGTTTTAATCGAAAATTACGGTCTCAGTTTTTTCTCTCATTATGCACTGTGTTGCAGGATTTCTTTTATGTGGTACACACATATCACATAGGTGTATTCTCTCATATCTAGGCCCAAATTTACCACTCACAGCTTATCAGAGTGAGCTGTGCTCATGGCATAGATCTACAGTTTGGGCCCTCAACGTATAGCCGTAGATCTACGGCACAGATCCTGAAAGGGTTAAGCAGTAAAAACAACATAATACATCACA